TTTGATGTAAAGAAGCAGATGTGAAATGAAAGGATCGCTTATAATAAGAAAGAAAGATGTCTAAGATTTTTTTGTAATTACGGAATGGATATTGTAAAGGGATAAGAGGATAATCCTAATTCAGTGAGGCCTAAAATTGATAAAGCATGACGCGTCATGCGCGCGTGCACAGACACACGCACACATACACACACATACAAACAAACACGCACACACACACACACACGCGCCCACACAAACACACACACGCGCGCACACAATATACACACACACCACCACCACACCACCACATGAATACCATAAACACACACACAAAAAAATAAAAAAATAAAATAAATAAATAAATACACTTTAAACTAAAACCGAACGACGAGAAAACCAGGTCAAGGTTTCGATCACTCCAAAATCTCCCTTTGACCTTGAACGAAGCCATTTCCGGCTGGCGCGAATCAATTTAATTTCTTGCAATAATCCCGTGCCCTTTTTTAAATCTTTTTTTCAGCTTTTTTCTTTCTTAAATTGGTATGGTGCAAGATTTCCCAAGATCAAAGGACTTTATTCTAATTATGAGGACGCTTTTTGTCACGTGAGGAACTTATTAAGAAGTGAAAATTATAGTCTTGATTTTTTTTCTTGATTGTTGTTTTGATATACGTATATTCTACTCTTATTATGTTAATTAGTGCCATTATTATTGTTATGAATGTTCCCTTATTAACTATGATAATGGTAATAATGATGATAATAAAAAACAACGATGATGGTGATGATATCAATGTAATAATGATGATAATGATATTGATAACAATTGTAATCAATAATGATAATGATAACAACAAGAGCAACAAATAATGATGAAATGAAAAATAATAATGATAATGATAACGACAATGCTAGTAATGATACAATAACAATAATAATGATAACAATAATAATGACAATAATAATAACAATAATGTTAGTAATAGGAATGATGATAATGGGAATAAAAAATAATAATAATATCAACAAAAACAAAAAGCAGAACAAGACCACCACAATAATGATTATAATAATAGTAATAATAATGATGATAACAATTATAATAACAACAATAATAAAATAACAAAAATAATAATAATAGTAGTAGTAATAATGATAATATTATAATAATAATAATAATAATAATAATAATAATAATAATAATAATAATAATAATAATAACACTAATAATGATAATAATAACAATAAAGATAATGATGATAATATAACAATAATAACAATTATAAAGCATGATATAATAATAATAACAATAATAATAATATAATATAATAATAATAATAATAATAATAATAATAACAATCAATATAATAATGATGATATGATGATGATAATAATAATAGTAATAATAATAATATAATAATAATGATAATAATAATAATAAATAATAATAATAATAATAATAATGATAATGAATAATAATAAACAATAATAAAGTAATAATAAAATATAACAATAGTGACAATGATAACAACAATAATGATAATAAAAATAGTGGTAATAATAATAATAATAATAATAATAATAATAACAATAACAACAACGAAAACAAAAAGAATAGTAATAATAATAATAATAACAATGTTGTTGTTATCAGTATCAATCCTTATTCTTATCATCGTTAATACTATTATCATTATTATTACCATAATCATCATATTCATTATCATCATCATTACCAGTATCGCTGCAATTACCGTCATTATTACCATTATCATTATCATTGATTTTATTCTCATTGTTATTATTATTATCATTATCATTACTACTGTTATCCTCATTGTCATTATCATTATCATTACTATTATCATCCACATTGTCATTACTATTATCATTATCCTTTATAATCATCAATACTCCTACTACTATTACTATCATTATTGTATCATAAGCATTAACAGCATCACCATGATGATTTTATTACTACTATTGCTCTATTGTGATTCTTATAGTGACTATTAATCTTATATATTCATTATTGATAACATCGTTATATTTGTTTTATGCTGTTGCATAATTACCAATATCATTATTACAAATGTTGCAATAACCATCATTATCATTACCAGTATAAAGACAATATCACAATAATAATAATTATTAGCAGTAATAGCAGTAGTATAGATATTACTAGTTCTAATATTAGCAACCATATTATTAGCATCATCATTATCACATTAATCCTGAATTGTGACCCTGTATGTGAATAATGTAGAAAGCAATATAAATACTGTCGTGATAAAACGGGTAATATAATATCGGCTGCAATTATATCAGCATTTAATTTGTAAAATATTAAGTATGTGACTCTGTCTCTTTATTCTTAATGGACCCAAAAAGAGTGTCTTAATCCCCTATTTACTACAGTCAAATGGTCCGAAATGCTAAAATTCAACTTGAAACCCCTTACCCATATGAAACATCATAGATCCGCGTCTGATAATTAGTGCTATCAAAATGT